ACTGGATTGCTGGGGCTGTCTTTTGGGGAGTAAGAGCTGCAGCCATGCACAGCAGCAAGGCCAGTTGTGACCTCTTAGTGAGGTCTGCATGGGTGTGGACGGAAGCCTGGTGTCGTGGGCTTCCACTTCTGGCTAGTGGTTTATCTCTGACAAAAGGGAACCAACCTGCCAGGGATCAAGGGTACCTGTGGTTCATGAAGCTTTTGGGCAAACACCGGCTTGAAAGAGGCCAGTGGGCACAGGCGCTTCCACTGGGACTGGATCTCAAAGCACTGGACCCACTGAAAATGGCAGGTGGACACCTGCACACCAGAACAGAATACAGGAGGTCTGGCAAAGATACTAAGTTAAGGTAATTTTTGCTTTTGTTGCAGATAACATCTTCTCTTAGACCTCAAGGTCCCCGTACTTAAAATGAACATCTTAAGTTAGAAATCAAAACAAAATGCAGGCAGGTTGTACCCTCACTTCCCGACCAGTGCAACAGGCACCTCATTCAAATCCTCAACTCTGAAGCAGCTTGAAACCCACCCATGGAGTTAATCCTTTGATTAAGTGCCCAGTGCCATCTTAGTTTTGGGAAACAGATGCTGAGTCTGGCAGGTTAAGCAGAAAAAGATGCAAAGCGGTTGAGTTAGGAGAAAGATAGGAGTATATTTCACACTCACCAGCAATCTGCTGGAATACATGAATGTGTAGATCTCTCTGCGTGTGCGTGTACAGAGAGAGACAGAGACACAGAGAGAGAGAGCGGATTGGCAGAGAGAGATAGTGACAAAGACAGAGACAGCAAAAGAGAGCGCGAGCGAGCACTGAGCGTGTGTGGCAGGGTGCGGCTGTCACGGCTCTGGGAGAGCGGAATGGTGTAGCCACTTTGGGGAACTATGGCTGGCAGCTCTTCTTGAGGGAAATGAAAACCATGTGTGCCCAAGAATGTTTCTCAGCTTTGTCCTTCACAAGCTGGAGTTAAGTCAATCGGCGTCCTTCAAGAGGAGCACGAAAAGTGATGGATGCCTTCCCCAAGAGGTCCAGAACAGGCCTTCAGGACATGTCAGTTTGGCACGTGGAGTATTTTAACCTGAAGTTAATCAAGGCTCTGCAGGCTCATGAGAAACTTTTATCACTTCCTTAACTATCTAGAAGAGTGAAAATTGGGCATATTACCCAGAATTAGAATTTTTATTAGAAGTAAGCTTCTATCAGGAACCTTTCTATATGGTAGACTAACATTTAATTACACAGCATCTGGCCTTGGTCACACGAGTCCCTCTCCCTTCTTCTTGAAGTCCCAGGCCCCCACCTCATTCCTTGGCTCAGGAATGTAATCTCATTTTGCTCCAATGGCTCAGCCTGCCCATGTAGATCCCCTATATGTATATAATTAAATCTGTTGTTTCTCCTACAATGTCTGATAATGTGATTGTTTGACCAGTCCAAGAAGAACCCCAAGATGTGGTGGCAATCTCCCTCTGCCCCTACAAAGGAAGTGGGATGTTCTCTGTGTGTGCCTGCAGCCTCTGTGGGGTATTCTGTGGCATGTGGAGGAGGCTAGGAGGCCACACGTATGCAGGGTTTCTGAGTCTTTACACGACGGAGCCTCTAAGACTGGAAGAAATGACAAAAAGGCACTTTGGGTCTGGGGACCTCATGTCTGTGGCACTAGATTCAGGAGAGACTCCCACTATGCAGGGCCCCCATCATCTTCCTATCAAACCCCCGCCCAGTGGGAGGACGACCCACTAGGTGAGAGGTGCCCAGAACTGGCGTGCAGTTTCATGCACACTTTGTACAATCCTAGAGTGAGAAAGCACCAGCTATCCTCTTTCTTCAAGATGCCTTGACCTAGGCTACACAAGTTTGAGGTTTCAGCAGAAACCTGCCATAGCAGCCCACATGTACACACAGGCATTTCTCCATGTATTTTAAAATCAGTGTATTTCCCCCATCGTGAGCCATTTCTGTTAATGCTTGTGGGGCTCTGCTTAGAGGATATGTTGTCCTCCCCCCATGCTGTGTTTGCACCCGCAGTCTACAGGTATTAGAGCCGCAACGACTGCAGTGTCCAACAAGGCCAGCAGGTAGACTTATACAGGCAAGGTGTCAAGTCTTCCCTGACCAGTAAGTCTCAGTGCATCAGGAATTTGGGGTTCGAGGGACATGGAGTGCTGGGTGGTGTCAAAGAAGGGGCTTCAGCCTGCTGCAGAAGAGCAGATTCCACTGGGCCCCGCCCCTACTCCTCCATGAGACCCAGCTCAAAATCATTATGTCAAACAACCACAGAAAGCCAGAAACCCAAATTAAATTAAGACCAAAATGGGAAACACCTGAAAATACCTACCATGTAACACTGATGTGCAGGCTTTTAAATTGTCCATGCTCGGCATCATATGCACCTGCCACTGCCAATAGGTCCCTCTCAGAAGTGTCTCCTTGAGTGAGTTATCTGAAATCGTTCCCACCTTTAGGCTGCATTTCTCCATAGCTCCTCCCAAGACCTGACATCACAGTGTGTGTCTGTTTATCCACGTGTAGGTCTTCCTGACCCTAAATGTGAGCCTTGCTCACCAGCCCTCCTTGCGTCCCGCGAGACATGCCCATCTGCTGGAGTCACATGTCTTCTGTCACATTTCTCCTGGGGGTTTTCCCTGTTGCACAATGACCTGTGTAGGCCGGAGGTACCCGCTGGTCTCTCCTCACATGGACACTGCCCAGTCACTGCTCAGAAAAGGCATGACAAGCCATCACTGTCAACATCAATCTCACAACTGTTCATGAGTCTCAGGACCTCACTTCAGCCAAGAGGCTAGGGCTCCTTTTTAGCAATTCTCACACATGATCCCTGTATGCAATTTAAAATATTGTGTTACTAGGAGCTTCCCTGATGGTGCAAGTTTAAAGCACAGCACTATGAAGCTGTCGGCAACCACTGAAGCACAAATTAGATCCCCCACCCGGGAGCTGACTCACATGGTGTGGCAGACCTCTCCTGATCTGCCCATTGCTCCCCTCAGCGGTGTATTTTGGTCAGTCTGCCTGTTCTGTTCCCCACCCTGTCTCTGGTGAATCCTCTCACCCTCCCCCACCTCAGGCCTGCAGCCCAGTTCTTGTATGCGTAAATAAATAATTTTTAAAAATTCTTATAAAATACTGTGTTACTAATAATTCCTATGAGGTGGTTACTCTCTCCAGTGTTAGTGATAAGGATGCCTGCCCAAACCAAATCTGAGCACGCCTGGTGCATGAGGTCATCAGGTGACTCTAACAGGCTGAAATAAAATCAAAGCACAGTAGACAAGCCAGCAAGTGTGGCTAACTGTGGATGTTTTTAGGATCTCCCAGGGCTTTTTAAAACACTGGAAAAAAATATCTGAAGCATTGCATTGCTAACCTCTTCACATCTCTCAGAGGTACATGAATTCAAAACTGGAAAGCACTACTCTAAGGTAGCTAATGGACAAAAGCAGAAACCTTTGGACTGACACATATATTTTCAACAATATGTAAAATTTCACACACAGTTAAAAGAGAAGTTTTACATTTACACACATATACTGTGATTCCACCACTACTATTTTACTGTTCTGCTCATGTTGATCAAATAATTATCTTTCTTTATGTCTCTATGCATTTGTTGTTCACTTTTTGGAGATGAATTTCAGAGTTTCTGACACCAGTAAACTCCTTATATGCTTTCAGCATGCAGATAATTAAAGTTCTACCACTGTGTATAGTCACTTTGAGGTAAAACTCACATAAAATGGAATGCATAGAGCTTAAATGCACCAAAATCCAGGACTTTGACAAATGCACACACCAGAAATCACATCTCACCACAGCAGGTATTTAGGACCTAGCAGATCCTCCCTTCTGCCCACAGAGAATTCTCCACAAGATTTTTCCCCATAGTGTTTTTTGGCAGACTTGTATAAATGGAATTATATAGTATACAGACTTTCAGGCTGAACTCTCTTCAGAAGGCTTTCTGATTTACACATATTGTACATGACAGTAGTTCATTTCCTTTCATTGCTTAATTACAGGCCACTCTGTGGGTATAACACAGTTTAGCCAATCCCTTGTTGATGGTCATCTGGATGTTACGTTTTGACATTGTAATGACCCTTATTGATCAAAAGGGTCAATAGAGTAAAGCAAGTTATCGATTAAAAAGGCAACCACTTGGTTATGTAGACACTTATACACAGACATGTAAAGGCCAGGGTAGAAACCTGACTGCCCTGCTAAATTAAAACTAATAGGTGGTCCTGATAAATACGCCTTTGAAAAGTAGTATTACTATAGGCACTTATATCAATTTCAGATGCTTATGGATTCTACATCTGTGGTCCTAAAATCTCCAAAGTTTTGACAAAAGCCCCTAAGGGCTGTCCCCGCTGAGAAGTGGCCCTCCCCTCCCCTTGAATGGTGAGCAACCAGTAATTCCCTAGACTGGGTCTCTGCCCACTCTACATGCCAAAAATTCATCTCACCCCCACCTTTTAATGCCAATTGAATTGCATATGGATTCCCTCTAATAAAATCATATTGTGGTTGTAAGATTTTTGGCTTGAGTTTTAAGTGAAACCTTTCTGCTTCTGGTGAAAGCACTTTTGAGATATGAATTTGTTATTACACTGGACTGTTTCCAAGTTAGGTTATCATAAGCAAAGTTATTATAAACATCTTTACAAGTCTTTTTCAGATATAGAAAAAGGAGTAAATACTCATGGGTAAATTCCTAAGAGTAGAATTATTGGGTCATAAGCATATACTTAATTTTACTAGAAATTGCCCAAACTCTTCCCAGAGCAACTGCACCATTTTACCTCCTGACCAGACAGGAGGGCTGCCCCACACCCCCATCCATGCTTGTCTGGCCACTCTGGTTGATGTGGAGTGGCATCTTATTTCAGTTAGCCTAATTTACACTGCAGTGAAGTCCAACTTATCAGTAAGACAAACAACTCAGTAGTTTCTTAAAATGCTACACATACACTCACCATATGATGCAACTATTTCACTGCCAGGTATCTGCCCAAAGGAAATGAAAACATGTCCACACAGAAGCTTGAAACTAAGTGTTCTTAGCAGTTTTGTTCATAATAGCCAAAAACCTGGAGAAAAAAAAAAAAACCCAGATGTCATCAAAAGATGAACAGCTAAAAAAATGCATTCTAACAATCAGTAGTAAAAAGGGATCAGCTACTGATTCACACTGTGATGAATAGCAAAGATGTACTGAGTGAATAAACTACCAATGAGTACATGCTGTGTGAATCCAATTACATGAAATTATAGAAGAGGAAAAAACCTGTTCCAAGAGACATGCTGGATGGATGGGGCCTGTGTAAAAGGAAGCCCACAGTAGTTTCTTTGGTGATGGAGATAATCCCCGTCTTGACTGTGGTCATGGTTACATGCTTCTGTTTGCCAAAATTCATCAAAATGTACACTTAAAGTGGCTGCATTTTATTGCATGTAAGTTATACTTTATAATAGAGTTGATTTTTTTTTAAGTGGTATTTGGTTCAACCCATCTGATTAGGCTTTTACAACAGCACTTAACAATCACCGATTCCCATCTCTGGCACTGTGTCCAATCTCAGAGGCTGTCTGTCTCCTTTACACCAACCTCTCTCAGTTCTCGCCAGCTGCCTGCCTTATCTTTCCTGTACCCAATCATCAATAACTTAAGAAAACAGTACAGTCCTTCAGTCAGGCAATGGATATTTACTGGAATCTATTGTGCAAAAAAAAAAAAAACAAACCAACCAAAGAAAAAAAATACCTAAAAAAAGCGCTTTGGGGAAATTCATTTAGCACAGACCAGCATTCACAGTTGGGGGCCTGGAATAAGTAAGGAGTTCCCCAGACAACATTAAAAAGCATTGTGTCCATACAGAACAAAGCCTGAGCTTAACAGGACGAGTCCAGCAGTGTGACTGCCAGCACCAGAAGATGCCACCTTCACAGGGCAGAAAGAGGAGGTGGACGCGAGAGGATAAATGAAGGGGCTGGTGGGCAAGGAGTGGCTTTGGCACTAGGCGGGCCGAGCTCCGCGGCTAGCACGTGGGTGAGGGGCTTCCCATCACCTCCGAAGATGCACAGGCCAGGTGGCCGCGCGCGCTCAGCGCATCACCCGAGGCGTGCCGAATGCCAGGCGGGTTGGCTGCTAGAGTTGCAGGGTCCGGGGAGCTCTACTTGGCTCACTGCGGGAGGGGTGACCCGCGACGAGAAGGGCGGGAGTCGCCCTCAGCCGGCCCAGCGGCCAGAGCGAATTGGCCGCGGGCCGGGTCGGCGCTCACGCGGGCAGCCGCACTCTGCGCCTGTGCCGGCCGGACCTCCACGCAGGCGCCTGGGCGGCTCTGTAGTTAGCTCGCTCTCGCTGAGCAGTGCGCGCCCCTGGCAGCTCCAGGGCAGGCCTTCCCGGACTGCCCAGCTCCGAGGCCCAAGCCCTGTAGGGGTTTTCGGCCTAAAAGTGTCCGCCCCTCAGCTCGCCCGGCCGCCATCTTGAGCGGACCCCCAGGGACACTGTCGTGCAGTGCCGGAGCCACCTCTCTTCACGCGCCCCGGCAGCCAGACTCCCTTCGGCGCATGCGCGCAAGGCTTCCCAGTTTGGTGGCTGTGGCGTGGTGCGCTCTGGCACGCATGCGCAGGACCATGGCCACACCCCCGGTGGGGCGTGGATGTCTGACAGGGGGGCGTGTCAAGAGAGTCGAAGAGGCTGGGAGGGGTGTGTCTGCCGGTTCGAACGAACAAACCAACAAACCTCCGAAGTCTGGGTTGAGAGCCTGGAGAATTGTCTCCTTTCTCTTGCGATGGGAGGGATTGGTGGAGTTTGAGTCATCTCTTGCCCAAGAAGTGTGGGGGCCCAAGAAGAGTGGGATGGTATTCGGGGTGCCCCCTTTCCAAATCATGGACGGGAGCCATGTAGTCATGAAAGATATTTTGACTGAAATAAAAGTCTGAATGTTAGAGTTTAGTAGATAAAGTGAGAATTTGAACTTTGGATATCAGCCTTTTTACTCTGGGATAACTGCCCTTTTT